ATGTTGGTCAGTTCCGTGGTGTGTCTGCTTGCCCCAGCCACCAATGAGACCCACGGAAAGAAGGAAAAAAGTCGGAAAGCAGTCAAGCATGTCATCAGCAGACAAGCTTTGGTTAAATCAGTGACTGCCTCCCACTGTTACAGAAACCACCCTGGTCACAAGGGACTCTGGACTTCTGGCAGGGGCCCCTGTCGACAAAGAAGGATTCTTGTTGAAGAATCGTGGAAGGAGGAGGAGGCTGGGCATCATCTCTCTGCTTGCAGGAGGGGACGCCGTGCTAGGGGCTGGGTTCATCATGACCCTTGCCCTCCTTGCACCTTGCTGCTGTATGTGACCCCAGTGCCTCCTGCAGGTCTGGGTGCCTCATCCCTCTCAGCCTCAGGAGCATCTTTCAGGAACTCTCCTCACCTCTCTGTCTTGTGTTTTGCAGTGATCAGGGCCAAAGCTGTCAGTGAGAAGGAGGTGGACTCTGGGAACGACATTTACGGCAACCCCATCAAGAGGATCCAGTATGAAATCAAGCAGATAAAGGTAACAGTGGCCACGGGTGTCCTGGGCTGCACTGTGGGCACAGCTGTGGGGCGTTGGGGTTGGCAGAGAGCCGGGTCCCTGGAACATGATATGGCCACCTGTGGAGCAGAGCAGAGGGTGACATCATCAAGCTGCAAATAGATCCGATTTCCCTTAATCCTAGAATGCCTGAAAAGTTGTGTGGAGATGACATGTTCCCTGCAAGGTCAATTCCCCCCAGAAACCTGGCCAGGCGCCGTGGCTCACGCCTGTAATCCCAGCACTTTTGGAGGCCGAGGTGGGCAGATCACCTGAGGTCAGGAGTTTGAGACCAGCCTGGCCAACATAGTGAAACCCCGTCTCCACTAAAAACACAAAAATTAGCCAGGCATGGTGGTGGGTGCCTGTAATCCCAACTACTTGAGAGGCTGAGGCAGGAGAATCGCTGGAACCCATGAGGTGGAGGTTGCAATGAGCTGAGATCGTGCCACTGTAATTCATCCTGGGTGACAGATCAAGACTCCATCTCAAAAAAAAATACCTGTCACCTTGACTTTGATGGATGACAGATCAGTGGCACGGCTTCCACTTCAAGTTACCAAGCTCCCCATAACATCTGTGGGCCATTCGTGGGGCCTCTCTGTGGTAGAGCTGTTGTGGGTTTCGAAGACTTGGTGTGAGAGAACGGCACCCAAGTCCCCCAGACTGCAGTGTATGGCCTGCACCTGCCCAGTTTGCCTGCAGTCCTAACAGGAGAATGGACTTGGCAGAAGGAGGAGTCCTCTGCCCGCTGTGTTGGGGCAGCTTCCAGAAACAGGGAAAGACATGGAGATTTGGAATGGACCAGTCACTAAGAAGATGAGATGCTGGTGGGAGAGGGGCTGCAGCCTGAGGGTGGGGGCGGGTCATTTGTTAGTTTCTTCAAAGCACTATTTGTGTTCAGGGACATATGGGAAGAAGCCCATGTTTGAGAAGGAGACAGAGACAGTTGAAAATCAGTGTCATCAGAAGGTCATTGGGATGCTTCATCATCACATCTATGTCACTTTAAGGGGGTGACCTAGTCTCTCAGTGCCTAAGCCTCATTCTTTATGAAGCAGGAAGGAGGATCTGCTCTTACGACCTCATGAAGGGGTTGTGAAAAGGCCGGTGTCAGTGCCGAGGAAATGCTTTTAGCCTTTTGGCAAATGATGTCATTTAATACATCAACTTAACCTTCCTTGGTACAAGTTGGAGTTTAGCTCTCAAAGCTATTTGTGATGACAGTGAGGCATGATCCCATTCCATTTGGGTTTGCTTATTGAAACTCTTCAGGGGGAGAAAAGCACCCTCCCTGAGTGGTGGGAAAATGGCTCTTCTTCACCTGGGAGGCAGGTGTGTTCCTCAAAGGCTGTGAGGAAACCAGATGTTGAGAAAGCAAGCCCCTCTGGCCCGTGGAGTTACACCCTGATTCCTGAGGTGCCTGTCTGCTCTCATTGCCATCAAGTAAACAATACTTGATCAAAATTCCTGGAAACATGGGTTGGGTAGAGTGACTCAAGCCTGTAATCCCAGTACTTTGGGAGGCTGAGGCAGGAGGATTGCTTGAGCTCAGGAGTTTGAGACCAGCCTGGGTGATACAGAGAGACCTTGTTTCTACTAATAAAAAACAAAAACAAAATAGCCAGGCGTGGTGGCACATGCCTGTAGTCCCAGCTACTCGGGAGGCTGAGGTGGGAGGATCACTTGAGACTGGGAAGTGAATGTTGCAGACCCAGCCTGGGCAACAGAGTGAGCCGAGATTGCGCCATTGTACTCCAGCCTGGGTAACAAGAGCGAAACTCCGTCTCAAAAAAAAAAGAACAGTCTTCTTTTCTTTTTTCTTTTTTTTTGAGGTGGAATCTTGCTCTGTTGCCAGGCTGGAATGCAGTGGTGCAGTCTCGGCTCATTGCAACCTCCGCCTCCTGGGTTCAAGCGATTCTCCTGCCTCAGCCTCCGGAGTAGCTGGGAC